TAGGGAGGTTCGGTGCTTCGTTACCGGGTCCTCCGGACCCATCGTCTGTAGTTGCTCAGTCTCTTGGGGGGGACTGTATCTGTGACTTAGGCTTGTGACTCGTGGGCCCTCGGGGTTCTAGTGGTGCATGAGGTTTTCACATGTTGGCGCCCGATGGGCAGGTGGTCTGTTGTCTCGTCTGTCATGTTCTAGTTGCCTGCGGAGCTGGATGTTGCATTTCTGGCGGGAAGGCATAATATGCCAGTGGGTCTGGCCATTTCATATGTATCGGTGGCAAGTGCAGCTCTTTTTGTAGATCACCCATATCTCCTTCGGTTCGCACGCTGAAGGGCCCGTAGGGAAATTCCAGCCATATCTTATCTTGTTAACTTGTAGGGTTCTGGTAAGAGGGCGCAGGGCCCGTCTATAGGCCAGCGTTGCTGGAGACAAGGGTAAAGTTGGATATCTGCTCCCCTGTAATTGACTTGCTTGGCTTCCCTTGCTTTTTTCAGGATGTCCTCCTTTGTTTGAAAGTGGCTTAAGCAGCATATGAAATCCCTTGGTGGGGATTCAGGTGTGCACCGTGGGCGAAGGGCTCTTTGTGCCCTGGTGAATCCGATGTGTGTGCTGGTTTGCCTTTGCAGGAGAGTTTTGAATAACTCTGTTAATGTGTCTTTGATCGCTGTATGCTGATCCAGGTCCTCCGGCAGGCCTCTGACCCTAATATTCAGTCTTCTTCCACGGTTGTCTAGATCTTCAACATGTAATGCCATTTGGCGCAGTTGCGTTTCTCGTGCCTGTAGAATGTTTGTATTCGCAGACTGTGCCGTTGCCATGTGGTCACAGTCTGCCTCGAGCTGAGTTAGCCTATGTTGCATGCCCTTTATATCCTCCCTGAGAGTCTGCAGCTCCCCCGCAATGGACTTGTGAAGCCCCGCATTCGCCTCCTTCAAGTCCATTTTAGTGGGCAGATTTTGAAGTAGTGCCATCCACTCCGGTTGCAGCGGTCGTGTAATGGGGGTTTGTGAAGCGTTAGGAGGTGAGTTCTCGCCTGGTGAGGCAGGGCGGGATCGGCCCGAAGCCTCCGAGTCCGTTGAGGCCTGGGAGGTCTGATCGAAGAGGGAGGTGAGGAATTGGTGCATCCCCGCCGGTTGGGATCCTCGGGGAGTGTTGATCGGGTTGTTACCCTGTGCGGTTTTGTGTGTTTTATCCATATTTGCCTGCTCGGGTGCTGTTTAGGCGAGTACTCATGTTGAGCCAGTGGGGAGCTCTCAGACTATGCCGCCCTCTCATCCGGTGTCAATGCCACGCCCCCCAACAATTGAATTTTTAAAACAGCGAGGCTCGCAGGCCTCCAAAAAGTATGGAAACATTTAGTCGATATATATAGCATGCATTGAACTCGCTGGTCCCTTTGAGTTAAACCTGCCTTTTCTGAATTTCGTTTCGCCATCCTCTGATGATGGTCAGGTTTCGATTTCTGGGTGTTTGGATCAGCCCAGTTAGGGGGTCTGGTGTCTCTAGTGGTATATGTGGATGTGGTTGGTTTCTGTTTGTGTGCTTATCTATGTTGTTATCACGGTGTGTGTTCTAGAGTAGGCTCAGTTTTTATATCTGGTTTGTTACGTATGTCGGTTTTGATATTGACTCATTAATGGTTTCAGCTAGTAGAGTTCATAGTCTGCCATGAGTGTGCGGGGGTATTACTCTTCCTGTGTAATACGTGGTGGTCTCGAAGGTGTGAGGAGGGTGATCATGTCTTTGGTCTATTGTTTTTCTTTTGCCTCAGTTGTTGATGTGATAGATGTGTCTAGGGGTGTGGGTGGTTATACTGAGGGGGAGGGGTATGTTTGTTGGTTTATGCCTCGTGCCTATGGGCATATGGGTCTTCAGGTGGTGGGGCGTTCGCGTCTCTGTTCGGTTTGGTGTGGTTGGTGTTAGAATTAATTAGTTTTGTTAGAATTTGTGGGTCCTCCTAGGTTTGGTTTGTCGTGCTTGGGTTATTTGTATCCCCTCGTGTTGGGGCGTTTTGAGGTGATGAGTGGTGGCAGGCGTATTTGCGTGGTGTTCTCTTTATGTTGTATGTTTGTGTCAGTTGCTCGGGTGTGTGTTATCTTTCTCTGTTGTCTTTTTCTATGGGTTGTGGTCTTTTGTTTTACGTACTGCGTTTGCCTCTTATATGTCCAGTCGTGTTGTAGATTTTGTTGTTGTTTGAGGTATGTGTGTTAGTTCGTGTCCGAGTTTGGTGGGGTTATGTCTGTTATGCTGGGTGTCTAGTTCGTGGGCTTGGTGCGGTCCTATTGAGTGTGTGGTTATTTCCCGGGGGGTGATCGTTCCAGTGTTGTGTGGGGTGCATTATTAGGCGTGTCAGGCTGATCATGCTTGTGTGGTGATATTCATATGTCTGTACAGGTGTGTGCTTGTGTGTTGTGTGTGTGTTGTGGAGGGTGTGTGACATATGTTGATTCTGTGTTGTTTGGGTGCTGTGTGATGTTGGCGTTTGTGGGAGTTGGTGTTGTGTAGAAGGTTGGGTGGGGTGGAGTAGGGTGGGGAAGGAGTGGATGCGCTGGGTGTGGGGCGGGGAGGGTGAGTTCTCCCCCTCAATCCCCATCTCCCCGGCCACGGCCCCCCCGCCTCGTCTTGCTATGTAGATTATCCATGGTTGCGATTTGTCTACGTGGTTTGAGAGAGTGTCTGTCAGGGTCGCATGCATCGTTAGCCATTGTTCCATCGAGGAGACTTGAGTTAATTTCCAGAGAGTAGGAATGAGTGCCTTGGCTGCGTTGAGGAGGAGGCGTAGGATGGATCTTTTGTATTTCGAGATCGAGTGTCGTTTGTGGTGGAGGAGTACATTTTCCATGGTCAGGTGTATCGTGTCCCCTAGGATATCCCTGATGCGGGCTATAATCTGGTTTCAGAATGGTTTTATTTTGGTGCTTTCCCACCAGATGTGTTTTACTGTGCCCACGTCCATCTCGCATCTCCAGTACATCGCTGGGATGTTTGAAAATATTCTGTGTAGGCGGTCCGGGGTTCTGTACCAGAATGTTAGTAATTTGTAATTCATTTCTTGGTATGATGTGCTAATTGAGGATTTGTGATGGAGAATTAGAATTTGGTCCCATTGTGCATCTGTGAATTTCCTGTCTGTGAGGTGTTCCCATTGTCTCTTATATGACAGAGCTGTCTTTTGGTTGTTCATGATCAGGTAGTGGTAGAGGGTTGATGTCAGTTTCTGGATGGTCGTTTTTTGGTTGCAGGTTTCTTCAAACCACGTGAGGGTTCTGTGTATTGCGGCTCTATCTGGTAGTGTGTGATAGAAATGTTGTAGTTGTGTGTATCGGTATCTTTGCATGGGAGTCGGTGTGCCCTCTACCAGTTGGTCCAGCGGAGGCAGTCCGGTGGCGGCCAATGTTTTGTGAATTGAGATGAAGTCTCCTCCCTCCAGGAAGCTCCAAGCCCTTGCCGGTAGTCCTACTCCTAGTAATTGGTTGTCCGTGAGCGTGGTCATTGGGCTAGGTTTTCCGCAGTGACGCCCATGTTTGAAGGGTTTGACTCACTGGGGAGAGTTTGTTGAGTTCGTCCTGTGCTGTCGTTTCCGTGCTCCATACAGTGGTGAAGATGGTTGGTCTGGTGGACGAGTCTCTATCCAGGGTCAACCATTGCTTGTGACATGGGTTCGTGTGCCATTCTAGGATCCGTTGCAGGGCTGTTGCACGATGGTAGTTCCGCAGATCCGAGAGAGCTAATCCTCCGCTTCTTCTGGTCTGGCAGAGGAGTTCATATCGCAGTCGTGGTTTGTGTCCTTTCCATATGTAGGTCAGGAATGTGGTTTTCAGTGATGCGAAGAATGCCGTCGGTATCGACAGGGGGATTGTGTGGAATAGGTATAGTATTTTGGGTAATATATTCATTTTGATCACCGCTATGCAACCTAGCCAGGTGATGTGTGGGTAATTACAGGTCCGTAGATCCTGCTGGATGCGAGTAAGGAGAGGGACAAGGTTTGTTTGGTAGAGGGAGCTTGGATCTACTGTTATCCAAATTCCTAGGTATCTCATTTGGGACTGACACCACCGGAAGGGGAAGTTCGAGACCATAGCTCTGTGTTCTCTCATCGGGTCGTTTATGTTGAGGAGTTCGCATTTATTCAGGTTGAGTTTGAGGCCCGACAGGCGTCCGTAGTCTTCGAGTTCTTTCATTAGGCAAGATAGGGTGATTCTCGGTTGTGTGATGAAGAATAACATATCATCCGCGTATGCAGCAACCTTGTGTGTGGTGGTTTTCCATGTGTATCCTGTGATGTTGATGTTTCGTCTTATTGCTTCTAACGTTAACGTGAATAGTAATAGGGACAGGGGACACCCTTGTCTAGTGCTATTCCGGATCGGAAAGGACTCCGTCAGTGCTCCGTTGACCCGGTCCAGCTCAGTATAGCTTCGGTGAATCCCAGTAGGTGTAACACTGTTTTCCGGAATGTCCAATCTACTCTGTCGAACGCCTTCTCGGCGTCCGTCGAGAGCAAGAGGAGTGGTGTTTTTAGGACCCGTAGGGTGCTATCTCGGGCCTCTCGTTACGGTATGAATCCTGTTTGGTCGGGGTGCACTAGAGTTGGCATCAGAGTGCGGATTCTGGTGGCTAGAATCTTGGTGAAAAGTTTTGTGTCTACGTTTAATAGGGATATGGGTCTGTAGCTACTGCAGGTTTCCGGGTGCTTTCCTGGCTTTGGGATTACTGTGATCGTAGTCGATAACGATTCAGTGTGGAATGCTGTCCCGTTCGTGATTGCGTTCAGGGCTTTTGTGAGCCTGGGGATTAGAATGTCCTGGAGTCGTTTGCAATAGTCTAGGGTCAGTCCGTCTGGGCCAGGGGCGCGACCTGTTTTTGTTGTTTTGATGGCTGCTCATATTTTGTCGGATGATCAAGCGTTTCTGCGTCCGTGGCCATCACGGTTGTATGGAGGTGTTCTCTTAGGAAGTGTTCTGTGCAGTCCAGTTTGTTGCGTTCGTGTTCGTCGTCACCTTGTTTGTGTGTGTTGTATAAGGACGAGTAATAATTGAGAAATTCCTTTGCTATTTCCTCCGGGTGTTGTGTCGACGTGCCTCCTTGCCGTTTTAGTCTGTATACTTGTGCGGGTTGTTGTTGTCCTCTAAGTATATGTGCGAGTAGTTTCCCTCCCTTATTTGCATGGAGGTAGAAGAATCCTTTGGATCTGCGTAGGTGTCTCAGGTGTCTCTTGAGCAGTAGGGCGTGTAGTTGCTTTCTCGCCTCTAGGAGTTCTTTGTATGTTTCTTTCACTTGGTGTTGTGTTTCTAGTGTATTAATCTGGTCAATGAGATCTGTCATTAGTCTGATTGTTTCCCGCTTACGTTGCGACGCAAGTTGTATGAGTTTGCCTTGTTTTACACTTTTGTGTGCTTCCCAGATTGTCATGTCCGAGACATCGTCCGTCTCATTTTCCGCGAAGTAGCTTGTTAGTGTTTGTGTGATTTGGTCTCTCAGTACTATATCGGTCAGTAGGGTGTCGTTGAGTCTCCTGGTTCTCCTCGTTGGTCTCGTGAAGGGGGAGTCAACGTTTATTGATATTTGTCCGTGGTCCGACCAGGTCGCTGTGTGAATGGTGGTTTTCTAAAGTCTAGCCAGAGTTTCTTGTTGTACTAATAGAAAGTCTATTCTAGAGTATCTCTTGTGTATTGTGAAGTAGTGTGTGTATTATTTGTCTAGTGGGTGCATGGCCCTCCAGCAGTCAATCAGTCGTAGAGACTTTAGAGTTTGGTGGATGTTCTTTATTTCTCTTTGTGGGATACTGCTGTGTCCCGTGGAGGGGTCCATTTTCGGGTCCAGCGGGGTATTGAAATCTCCTCCCGTTATCAGTATTCCTTCCGCAAAAACTGCCAGTTTCTTCAGCATGCGTTTAAGGAATCGGGATTGGTTGTTGTTAGGGACGTATATTGTGGCTAGTGTGTATCTTCAGTTTGAGCTCTCTCCTTTAATGAATGCATATCTGCCGTTCTCGTCTATGAGTGTTTCCTGTTCCTTGAATTGTAGTTTGGCTGCTACCAGAATCGTGACCCCCCGCTTTCTTAGCTGTGGGGTGGTTGCTATAGTAGCTGGTGGGGTAGTGTTTGTTCCTTAGAATCGGGGCTGAGCCCTACCGGAAGTGCATATCTTGTAGCAGAGCTATGGCTATTCTCTCTCTCTGAAGCTCCCTCAGGAGGTGGGTTCGGCGTTCGGGCAGGTTCAATCCCCGACAGTTTTGTGTGATGATTTTTATCGGGTCTGGGCGGTATGACATCCTGGTAGAGTTTGTCCTTCGGTAGGGTGTCTCTTCAATCGTGGGGAGCCTGGTCTCGGGGCCAGGGGGTGGGTGGGGGGGCTAGGGGGCCGAGGGCCGGGGGAGATAGAGGAAGATACACGGGGGAGGAAGGGGGGGCGGGGTGCGCGGGTAAGGTGGGGAGTATGTAAGTGGGGGTGGTTCGTGTGAGTTAATGGGTGTTTGCGAGTTGGTTGTGGGTGTTTGTTTCTCAGTAGTTGAGAGGTATTTTGCTGGTACCGTTTATTGTTCGGTCTTCGTCAGTTGTGTAGTGGCCTCTTTATGATCCGTGAAGGATGTGGTGGGTGTTCGTGTGGAGGTTGGGTGTCTGGGTGTGTCGTGTTTGTATCCCACAATGGGGTGGGGGTGAGATCGGGCTTCTCTAAGGAGAGGAAGTTTGTGTGCCTACGGTGGTGGCTGGCGGCTTCCCAGTGGCTGGGCCCTGTGGTCTGCTGCCTGCACTCCGCAGTGTCGAGTGTGCACACCGAAAGTTGTGGGAAACGTGACTGGGCCTCGGCTAGTCAAGGCAGGTGTATCCGTGTGTTGATAAGTTTGTGTTGTGTGAGCACTTCGTAGTGTCTCTTGGAGTAGAACTTTGAACTATGTGGTTGTGTGTTTCTGTGGTGGGTCTTCCCATCCTTCCACTGTGATATAGCTAGGGTGAACCTCTCACTGAGGCTTGTGTTTAGTACCGTGTATTGTCATCCGCTTTAGAGCATGGTTTCTGTTTTTTCCCTTTTTTCGGTATCTGGCTGGGGCATTCATCCCCCTTGGTGTGCTACTAATCTGCATAGGGACATCATGTGTAGTTTGTTGAGTAAAGGGTCCTCCTCCCTCCCGTTCCCCATTGCCCTCCCAATCTTTTTTTTTTTTACTTGGTAGGGGGGGTAATTATTTGTTGCGTGTGGTTCCCTCTTTTCCCCTCTCCTCCCGCCCCTGCCCTGCTCGTCTTCCACTCCCCCCGCTCCTTATTTCCCCAGTTTACCCTCCTCCCTGCACTCAGGTTGTGTCCTGCTTAATCCTCTGGCTCCTAATCCTCTCTCTTTACCATTTGCATCTTAGTGCAAGGTTGGTTCCTAGTTCCCTGTGCTCTCTTCATTGGTGTGGTACGGAGGTGGGGGGCAGTGCCTGGTTATGCTATTGACAGAAGTGGCTTGCTCAGGGCTGTCACATATTCATCCGCTTATAGAAATGTGGTTAATGACATTTACTGTCCACACAGGAAAAGTTGTGCCGAGCAGCAACCTAATCCACAGAAGGGTTAATGCTGAGCAGCAATTATGCAAATGAAACCTGGTAACTGACTTTGGGGTCAAAGGCCGGTTACAGCCTATCAGAACTAAAGGAGGGGTATTTAGGCCCAGTTCTCAGCCTGCTCAGTGCCCTGTCGTGGTTTCCCTTGTGGTTGTCTGAGAGCGCGTTCCTGTTTATAGTTTTCTACCTGGTTTTTGACTTTGGCTTTGTTTATTGACTTCTCTATATTCTGGTATCCTGACTCCTGGCTTTCCTCATCGCTGTGTCCCTTTCTGTGTTCCCTGACCTCGGCTAGTATTTTTGACTATTCTTTGTACGTTAAATCCGGCCATTCTAAGGACCGGTAATACGTTACTTATTTGTCATCCGTGCTGTACAGTTCTACGTGCTGGATCAAACAGTAATCCTGACATTACGACATGGCCATAGATCCTGTAGAACTGTGTCAGCACATAGCTGCTTGCGAGAGGAAATTAGAGGAGAATGATCACCGCATGGATCAATTCACTCAGGCTTTAAGTACGCTTCTCGCTAGAACGGAGCATCTGCAGCCTGCAGCGTCTCCTCCTATAGCACTCTACCCTGTGTACCTCCACCCACTGTTAATAGGACTCCTTGCATCTCCTTATCACCATCCCTACAGTTTGATGGCAATATCCAGGAATGCAGGGGTTTTCTTAATCAGGTGGAGTACCATTTTGAGGCCTCACCAGGGTCATTCCCCACGGACAGAGCAAGAATTGGTTATCTAATGAATCAATTAAAGGGCAAGGCCCTTGCCTGGGCTAATCCGTTGTGGGAGAGTAATCGGAGCATAGCTCATAATTACCAGGAATTCCTTGCCGAATTCAAGCTCATGTTTGAGCCATTGGGTAGAGAGGATGACGCCTCCACTGCCCTAATGCACATCAGACAAGGTAACCGGTCTATCTCGGATTATGCTCTTGAATTCCGTACCTTAGCTTCCGAGGTAGACTGGACTAACAATGGGTTAATCTCAGCATTCAAAAAGGGTCTCTCAGAGACTATACTAGATGAGATAGCCGCTAAAGAATTACCTAAGAGTCTTAACGAATTTATTACGTTTGTCATGCATATTGATAATAGGTTAAGACTCAGAGAAGTCACCAGAAGCAAGACCAGACGTACGGCTATGTCCCTAGCACCTCAATTCTCTAAACCTGTTTTGTCTAACCTCCCTGTACAGTCCGAACCCGAACCTATGCAGTTGGGGGTCACTAGACTGTCAGAGGCCGAAAAACAGTATAGGAGAAGGGAGGGGTTATGCCTATATTGCGGTAGAAAGGGACATATGATAACTAATTGTCCAGTGCGTCCGGAAAACTTCAGCACCTAAGAACCTTAAGGGGACAGATCTTAGGTGTGATGGAGTTGTCCTCTAACAAAAACAAAAGTAGATTCCTCCTTGAGGTATCTATTTCCCTTGATAACAAGAAGTTTTCTTGCAGTGCCCTAATGGACTCAGGTGCTGCTGGAAATTTTATTGATGTCCAGTTTATTAGGGGTAATGAGATACCGGTCAGGGAGAGACCTACGCCGCTAGCTGTAGAGGCTATTGATGGTAGACCACTCACACAACCGCTTATAACCCACGAAACTGTCCCTATTACGATCTCCATTGGGGCCTCCCATAGGGAGGAGATGACGTTTCAGGTTATTACTTCTCCATCATGTCCTATCATATTAGGGTTTCCGTGGCTGAGTAAGCACAATCCCTATATTGACTGGGCTAATGGGGACATATTAGAATGGGGTAAAGAGTGTATGGGGAGATGTATAAAACCAGTACTAAAGAGATTGGATACTATTGACCTTCCCACTACCACTCCCCAAACTCCTGGAGTTCCCATACAATATCGAGAACATCAGGAGGTGTTTAACAAGGCTCAATACAATGTATTGCCTCCCCACAGAGCATATGACTGTGACATTAACCTGTTTCCAGGCGCTATGCCACCTAAGGGGGCAGTTTATGCCTTATCTCCCCAGGAGAGTAAAATAATGGAGGAATACATCAAAGAATCCTTGAGCAAAGGGCACATAAGAAAGTCATCCTCACCAGCTGGTGCAGGATTCTTTTTTGTTGAGAAAAAGGGTGGTGAGTTACGCCCTTGCATAGACTACAGGGCACTTAATAAAATCACTGTAAAAAATGCATACCCTATTCCACTCATTTCCGAATTGTTCGATAGACTCCAGGGAGCTAAGTATTTACTAAGCTTGACCTTAGGAGCGCTTACAATTTGGTTAGAATTAAAGAGAATCATGAGTGGAAGACGGCATTTAATACCCGTAGTGGACGCTATGAATATCTGGTAATGCCATTTGGGTTATGCAACGCCCCGGCCGTATTCCAAGACTTTATAAATGATGTACTCAGGGAATTCATTTACTCATTTGTCTTGGTTTATTTGGACGATATTTTGGTGTATTCCCCTGATCTTCAAACTCACCACTCCCATGTGAAACAGGTTCTGCAGACGTTGTTGAAAAATAAACTTTATTGTAAATTAGAAAAGTGCATATTTGACCAGCCTGAAGTCCACTTTTTGGGTTACAACATCTCTGCATCGGGATTTCAAATGGATCCTAAAAAACTAGAGGCTGTACTACACTGGCCATTACCCTCTGGTTTAAAAGCCATTCAAAGGTTTATTGGTTTTGCCAACTATTACAGAAGATTCATCAAGGGATTTTCTTCTATAATAGCCCCAATCACAAATATGACTCACAAAGCGGTTAGTAGCACGGTATGGTCCAAAGAGGCTGTGAATGCTTTTGAGACTCTTAAACAAAGATTTGCCTCTGCGGACATACTAAAACATCCTGACACCAGTAAACCTTTTATATTGGAGGTTGATGCATCCGAGACAGGGGTAGGGGCTGTTCTCTCTCAGAGAGAAAGCCAGGGAACACCATTGCATCCTTGTGGCTACTTCTCCAGAAAGATGTCTCCTGCTGAGCGC